TCCTAAATATACTAAATATATATAGTAAAATCTAAATACATGCATAACTACTGGCTACTTAGCTACATACCGTAATCTTGTTTGGGTGTGGTCACACGAGATGTTACACTACATATATCCATGATTCATTCTACTTCGATCGAGATTAAAATAATGTTTCACCCATAGTCTCTCATAGTTAATATTCCTGTAACTTGTAATCATACTGCCTAAATTTTCTGACCAGCCCACTTGTGCCACAAATCCTTTTTTTCGGACTTCGTATGTACCGATATTCGAAAATGCCAAAGCGGAATTTGAATTTCGTTCAGTTTGACTGTATTGTATCTGATACAAATTTGCAAGACTTGATTCCCGATCGGTGGTAGAAATACAGAAAAAAGAATGTTTCAAGTAGAGTGGATCTGTTGTATATTACGACAGTAAGATGCCTCAGGTTGGCGACCTCTGACTGTGCAAAGACAACGGCATATGAATTGAGCTAGGTTGTCTACATGAAAAAATTTCCGCTAACGTCCTTCATTGGTGACTGTGTGGACAAGCTGTCAGTCATTTGTGCATTCCTCCACTGTTGAGTAATGTTCTCAGCGCATAGGCATGTCTTCTAACAAAACACAGCTGTATTTCATGAGATAAAAGATTCTTTTGGTGCTGTTTAATTTTCGAAATACTGCCTAATTAAACAGTCGACCAAAATAAAACTGGCTGCGACAACTGCGATAATTGCTAATGCAGGTCCGCCTCCAAAACCCTTATCCGAAGGCATTTGATGCACTGCTATATCAGAGAACTCCGGCTGGTGAGAAAAGTCGTTCAAACGACGTTTGTTGCGATCCTCACTTTGCATGTTGCGATGGTTTTCTCCGCTTTCATTTAAAGTATCAGTCTGATAAAATTCCATCGCAGCAGGAGCGATTGAGGACCCTCTCAGAGCTCTAATTTTTGATTCATCGTTTAAGTACATCAGGGCATTGCTCGCCGCCAATAATGTTGTCACGAATAAAGTTGATACGAAAAGACGAAAAAACATTGCTGCGGAGGGTCGACGTGGTGAGTGGTGCTGAGCAGTAGAGAGAACTTCGGCAAGTGTTTGGATGGAGCGATGTGTGGCTACTGTTTTCCCTTTATGCTAATGGAGGGGTAGGTTTTTGTCAAGCACAGAAGACTGTGATTTGTGTGCGATCAACTAATTTTTTCTGTTTTATGCTAATATATGAAAGATCATGGATTGAGCATTAGAATAATACACTACAGTAATGAAAATTGCAGAGTGGCAATTGGCTTATCACCACCACCAAGTGTTTCAATCACACATACTATCACTTTTTCTATATAATATAGCATACTCTATCAATCTACGAGTATTTGGTTGGCTTTGTTACTTTGATAGGACTGACCAGCGACAGTATGGGACATTACGCCATACCTTGAATGTGGAAGCGTTCAGGTAATGGAAGTACCTAAGTTAACGAAGCCGTGCTAACGATGAGTTCTCGTGTTCATCGAAGCACTCAAAAGCGCTGCTTTAGCCAATATAATCGTTAAATGGGCCACTGACGCCTACAGTATCGCTACCGCAACAATGCTAAGCTTTCCACGGCTGGTTTGTGTCCACAAGCAGCACAAACTACGTCTGTCACCTTGTTCAGTAATGTACAACGTGGACACGACCACAGCTGAAAACGAATAAATTTGAGATGCACTGGATTTGGTGACATCAGCAACATTTCAAGTACGTGCACAAGGTCTTCATTTTCAAGCATGTGATCATTTATGCCCACAAGAATATCACCTTTGCGAATCGCACCACTTGCTTCAGCAGACAACTTGGCGCCTAAACCATTGACCTCAAAACCAGACACAGTAAAAACTTTTTTGATTCCTCTTACGAAAGCCGACGCTGAACTCTCATCAATTGGTGAATCGTCCAGTAACAACCCAATACCACCATCTGAGGCATTCAGACTCACATCATAACCCATAAGTGGACCATGGGGAGTCTGAGCCGGCATATCATCAAATTCTATCGACGCAAGTGCATGATCGCTCTGAAAACTTTTCATATTATAATTGCCTTTCGTCACGGGGTTTTCATCGTCAAAAATGTTGTCAGGATTCACGTCTAGTTGCTCGTCAGTGGCGGGATGAACCGAGTAGTCACGTAGACGAACAGAATTTTGCATCGAATGAGACATTGCCATGCGTAGCACCGCTCGCCTATCGACAGGAGTCGACAACGGACCCTTGTCTTTTGCCAAAATTCCATTGAGACGTTGTAGCGTGTCTTGGGCAGATTGATGTGCCTTGTGCAGATGAAAGTCCTCATCGCGCCACCCATTCCCTGCCTGAAACTCGATTTGTGCAGGCACTGATTTCGGTGCACGAGTAGGCAACAATACCGGGCTGATCGGCAGAGTCCTGGACTGTGCCTGAACAAATGGTGATAATGAGTCTTTTTGAGAAATTTGAACACTTCGCTCCATCTTTGCCAACAGCTTGTCTTCAATGCCACGTTCCACTTCGTGTGGAACGCTTTTAATAGTAGTCCCAGTACATAACTTCTCTGACGCATCCTTTTTGTTGGTAGGTTTGTCAGCTGCTGCTTCCCACCACTTGTGAATTTCTGTAGCGATCTTTTCAAGAGTTTCATGTTTGATGCCTTTCTGCTCATAAAAAAGCAATGTCGGCTGATAGCCGCCACGCTCAATACGCTGTCGAGCATCTGCCCACGTACCCACAAGTTTAACGCGGGTATCATCAAAAAGAAACCAACGCTGTCGCTCCACTCCGTTATCATCCAGACTGGTACTGGCAAAGAATCCCACATAGTGTCTTCCATAATAGCACACAAGACCACGAAATGAGAAACATGACGAATCTTCAGTCGAGTTATCCAGTCTGAAAATACGACCTAAATCGAGTGCTTGTTGAGACTCTTCGTCAATTTGACATTGGGTTGACAAGAGCTCCAGCCAGTCCTTAATATCCGTCTTGTTCATTTGAGTACTAGACCAAATGATACTGATCGCGAACACCATCGGCAACGTTAAAATCCATCTACTTAATGCTCTATGTCCCCCTACATCGCATAATTCACACGTTCCAGCCACTTTTTGTGACTGAGCTTCTGTTCTAAGTGCGTCCTCTAGCGTCATCTTCGTACCATTTTTTTCACTTCGCGCATTGTTTAGCACTTCCTGTGCATACACCCGATACAGAAAATCCGTATTCATGATAGGCTCAGCTGTATGGCCACAAGAGGCACAAATTTTAAGCTCCATAAGATTCATCTGGAATAAGCGATGGGCTACGCATTGTGGTTCGCAGATGATAGCAGAAGCGTCTATTTGTAAGGATGCGGACATTTCATCCGCGATATTAGTCATTCCAATCGCAGAAGAATTCTTGCGACGCTGAAGTAGCATCTGGTTAAATGTGTCATAGTGCAGCGCGTCCAAAATCGCCTCGAGCGTCTCTGTGGCATCGTTCATGGCTCCAAGAGCAAATTTGTCACCCAACGCGAGTCGCACACGTTCCACGTCAAGTACCGGTTGTTCTGCAAACTGATACATGATAAAAATCTGTTCAAGTTCGCACAATAGACAAGGAGTGATGGTCTGTGTCCGCACCGACCCTGCGTTCGTATGCTGGCCGCCACAACGATGATGCACGGCGTGGTCGCCCATAGATATAAGTGCGCGGCAGCTGCGTACATGCCACAGACTCTGGATGATCACATTGAGGAAACAGTTGTTGGCACCTATCTCGTTGCTCAAGCCCTTGCGCGCGCTGAGCGACTCCGAACTCGTTGACGCGCCCAACATCAGACCAGACCTTTCTCTCGAAATGCTTAACCCTTATCCTTATCAGTAATACATTTGTATTATCGACTTTGAAGATCAAGCATTTCTTAAGTAGAGATATAGTGTATTTGAATCGTTAACACCTAGCTTCTCATTTAAAACAAACTTTTCTGCAGTAGTCTAGCGTCGCGAACTCCTTTAAATGACGGCCGAAGTCTGACTTCCATGGTGTGCATGCTAAAATGCACGTGATAAAAAGCGTACTGCAAAGTGATAATATGATGGGTGTTACAATTGGTAAGTCTAGACGGTTAGTGGCGTGACGATGATACAACATCATTTGTCAGGCCGGATCGCTTGGCTCTTCCAAATGCCCCACCAATCTTCACTTGTTCTCCCCGCATGGCTTGGGTCTGCGGTCGCAAATCAACCTCGTGCGTCGGGGTCAAGTCGGTCCCATATTTCTCGTCCATCGTACCCAGCCGCTGCTCGCGATCTCGACATTCCGACGCTTGTCCTTTGATTATTACTTTTCGTCAGTCAGTCTAATTCGTTTGACCCGTGTCCTTCGACAACAGTTCCTTTGCTCACGCGCTGTTGATCTACCTTAAACGTTTTCTTCTACCCATAATCAACGCTCCGCTATCATTGTCTATCTCCACATGCTTCGCACTCTTTAGATCATCTTAGCCTTAAAAACTCGCGTCCTACATGTGGAGCCAAAGTGATTTTCTCAGCTTTCATGGTAAACAGTCTGCTTCTCGTAAGCTTATACTGAAAGGTCACGCCTCCTATTACTTTTAAAAATCTGCATCGCTCAAGCTACAGTTTTAAATACTCTATCACCCACCTTAATCGTTTGAAGGGCCTGATGCTTATTTTTTAGTTCCATATAAGTGCATCATGCTGTGCGCAATAAAGCTATTGTCTGGCAAATTAGAGTAAGCTACCACCAAAAGACTCAATTTTTGCGTTGAGCTCACCTGTATCCCCTAATCGCCTTTGTCCTATTGGGCGACTTCACTGCCTTTGAAGTGACAATTTAAAATTGCCCATTCCTTACTTGATGCTCGCGGCTTTAGACTACAGCGTGGACGACGCTGTTACGCCTAGCTGCACCCTCAAGCGTTGAACATAAAATGCACTTAAGTTCTTTAACATTGTCATCTAAGGCGCGGCAAAAAGCTCTTCGTAGCAAAAATCAGCTCGATTTCTGCTTAGAAGTCTAAGATTGCAGGTTTACTACATCTTTTGGCTTCAGTTATGAGCTAAAACAACACACGTTATGACCCATCCCATCGCACAAGGGATTGTTCATCACAAACAGAATGGAATGGCTAATCTGGATGGTGCATATATGTGGCAAAGTATAGCCCATTACACCATCCACTCCACAATTTCAAAAGTACTTTGATACTTTTGCAGACCTTATGAGGTATTTCACTTTCCGATCAACAAAGAAGCGATCAAGTGAACAAGCCAACATCTAAGTACGTTCTTCGTCAAAACGACAAAATACGGTGCTAAAATATTTTGACGTTTTCTCCATTCTCAACCAAAATGGAGACAAGAGGTCCTTGATGGAACGTTGCTTTTGTTAGTGTCGGACCAGCAATTTCGATGATTCGGCCCAGCCCACCGCAGCTAAGCTTGATTTTATGCGGACATTCATTCGCCATGAGAGCAAAAAAATGGAGAATCTTCATCGCCGAGTCGGCGCTAGCAGGAACCCCCAATCATGACCGAGCACAACCAAGCTCTGGTCGCCACAGTGTTGCCTCTCGCAACACTTCAAGCTATTGACGTAGCTGCGGACCACGTCGGGGACATCAAACTCTGCGGCCTGATGAGATTCATACGTGTTCGTTTCCGATGGAGGGCCGCACCACCGAACTCTGTAGAAGCGTTTATTGTTCAACTGCTTTTTCAACGATGCCAAGTCGATCGACCCTCGTGATCAGCAATCGTCCCGACCACCCAACGACGCTCTCCGCAAGAGTCTAATAGCGGGGTAGAGCTGAACGAGAAAACGACTTAGCGACTCTGGAAGTAGAGAGCGCGCGTCGTTGGCAAATCGAGGCATTGCAGCAGCGTTGCTTGACGCTGGAAGATCGCTGCGAGAGCTTTTCGCAGAGCTGAACTCAAAACTTCGACGTTCTGACATATGGTCCGCCTAATGCTCGTAATAGATCATCTTGAGAATAGTTTCTTGAGAATTGGCTGGCAAAATGCAAAATGAATATAGTCAGATTGCGTTGATGCAACACGATGATGAGGGTGGGTAAAAAATACGCGACGTAAGGCATGGTAGTATTTACACTTTAGAGCCCCGTTTTGATTTCCGCTTCAACACGCTTATGATGAAAAAATTTCGACTACTGAAGGACAAAAGTCGCGTGAGTTACCGGTTGCGCTATGTTTAAGAGGCAGGCTCTGCACACAAGGCACTCTGTGATGAGTATCATTCTGTTGAATCAGTAGAAGAGCTATCCTGTGATGTCTAACGCTTGTACGCCTAAGAGAATCTCCAGAGTGAGGAGTTTGTTGCTCTTCGCGGACAAGTGGATAAACTTCATGATCAGCTCGATCATTTATCAAAGGTATAGTAGGATAGGCAGATCCACTCGGAAGCTACAATTTTAGTCGACCTACATAAAATGTAGGCGCACGCGTGCAAGGATGGCTAATGTATACGCATTACCATTGCGTTACAAAACCTGGTACGGCCCAACGAATCTTGGCAAAGCTTCCTGCCTCCCAAGTTTAACACTGCATGTTCAGGCAGATTTGTCGTGCTATGTAGTACAAGATTATATACCTTCTTATTATTTCTTCCTTTTTTATCTGCCTGTCCTTTTGCAGATCCTGAGCTTTCGCAATTGAGTCTCGAACAAAACGACTTGTCTCTTCACAACAAAGTCATCATCGTGCTGTTCTTCACGACTTGTAACGTCGTGTAAAGGTCTTATTGAGCTTAACTCTGTGACAGCATGTAGGTCCAACTGTGGCTCTATATCCATAGTCCCTCCCCACGTATGATGAAGATCTCGTTCGTAATGAGAGCAGGTAGTATAGTATGATCTGACAAGAGATTGTGGAGTCGCTCAACGCAAGTTTTGCTAAAGGGAGAAATTCATGTCATTCGTTGAACAACGTTGCGTAACTACACAGTATATCCTCCATGACATGATTTTTTTACACGCTCTATTTGAGTGTCTATTTCAGGTTGTGCCGCTGATGACATCGACAATTTGGTGCTTAATAGTCCAAATGATGCATTCCGAAGCTTTGACGTGAAACGGGCTTCAAGGTCAGACACGATCTCAAAAGAAAGGTCATGAAGACAAAGAATAACGTCTAAGCTGTTCTCATGGCAATTATCTTCCTCAAAACAGACATAAGATGAGCCATCTTGCTAAATCGGTCCACTAATACAAGAATTTCACTGTCTCCATGTGTCGCACTCGAATTTCGAATGTGAAGTTCATACTCACAGACTTCCGATGACGCAAACCTTCATCATTAAGAACAACACTCTTGCTGTGTTCTCATGTTCAACTGCATAGTACAACAAACCGTTGTGTACTCCGAAATGGAGAACACGCGGTCGTGTGCGAGACGGAAGACGTTGTCAGAAGGGTCTCTGAGATACCTCATCAAGTCCTGAAATCTCTCATCAGAATTGTACCCTTGGAAGATTTTCTTCTGCATTGTAGTCGTTGCCTGCACTCTGATCATCGCATTGTCGACATGACTCATGTATGTTCTCGCTCTTTGACTTTGGATTATAGTCTGGACGTCTTGACAACATCATCTAAGATGATCATTTTGCACGGCTTGTATTGTGTAGCAAAGTTTTACTCTAGGGTTAGACCTGGCTTGCAATGTGTACTCCGCAAAGAAGGATCACCATCGAGCCATTCTCTGCGATAAATGAGGTGACATACGCAGCAAGGCATGATCTGTAAAGATCACAAAGCCCTCCTCTACAGGCAAGAACACACGAGACTATCCAAAGCATACTTCATTGCTAGGATATCATGAGTTGGATTGTTCTGTTTCGCGGGTTGGAGTTGTCGTGACAGATACAAAACAGTTTTCATCGTATTGCACCAACGCAAGCCGATGGCATAATCACTTGTATCACAGACCACATAGACAAATTATCGTGATTTGCAATCGCAAGAACAGGATCTTCTCTCAAGCTCTTCTTTACTTTGGCAAATATCGCCTGGTGATCATTTGACCATTCCCAATTAACTTCTCCTTCATAACAGTTGTAGGAGCTTCACCAACTCTGCATAATTGTGTGTGACCATTGTATCAGTTGTTCCACATTGTCTGGCACAGGTCAATCATGGATGGCTTTGTATTTCTCCGGAAATGCCATCCTTGCCCACAAAACAGCCGAGACCGAAGGTCTCAGTTGCAAAGAAAAAACAGATTATAAGTTAGCGTAGAGCATTTTCTCTCGTATAACTTGGAAGGCCTGACGAAGATGATCGGATGAACATCGACATCAGACTTCTCACCCGGTTTCTAGATATGCACGAATGTATCGTTAAAGTAAATTGATGCAAACTTTCTCATTTGACAAAGAAAATTGTCGCCATTCTGTCGAGAGTCGCGGGAGCGCTCTTCAAACTTTGTGGCATCACTAACCATTCGCACAGCATACCACATGGGGTACTGACTGCAATTAGTGGTGTATCATTTTCGCGCAATGATAAAGATTGATCGCACTAAAATATGGCACTACCAATCATTCCATCAAGAATATCCTTGCGTGGAACCGGAGTCTTGTCAGGTATGGTCGCACCGTTCAATTTATTAAAAGCGTGAACAAATGCGCCAACCACCTGTGGCTTTCTTTACACAGAAGGTTGGACTACAATGCGGAGATTTGCTCTCACACGCATGACCAGCCTTCTGTCTCAGTGCAAAGAACAGATCAATTGCAATGACTTGTTCTTTTAGCAACGGTCACTGCCGTGTGATACAATACCTCATACCAGGAAGTATGTCAATCATATGACGAATGCCGATGTAAGGTGGCAGTTCGTCCGGCACCTTGTTTGGAAATATTCAGCGTATTTGTTGACAAGTCCATACACGGATTGCTACTTAGAATTTCCCACGCCTTTCGTGTCTTCTCATTAAATACTTCCGCAGTATTGCTGTCATCGCCGATGATTTCTTCGACAATCGTATATTTGTGGGATTCGCCTTTTGCCAGGCAACGCTTCAGCGTCTTCTTGCTCATCAATGGCGAGAAAAGCAATTATTTGACTTAACTTGCTGGATTTTCAACCTTTACGTGACGGACAATATCGACGTAACCTTCTTTGCTGCAGACCACAACATTTTTAAGAATCGCTCGAAGTGTCTTGATCTTGATCATTCCTTCATAAAAACAAATTGAACCTTGATCAGGGGCACGCACAATACTTATCGAAAAACATTTCGTGGTGGTCTTCTTATCATTCTCTCGGGATGGGTCTTTGCGTCTAATTCAGCTATTCATCATAATACCATCGACCATGGAAGTCATGGTCGATTGCAAAGGAGAGAGTCTTTTTCTGGCGCCCCGACAGCTCCATCTCCAGTAACTGTCGTGACATGAATCTTCGTGGGCGTGTCCCAAGAACATGAGGGCATTGCACACCGTAATCATAATTGGAAGATATGTAATTTTTTCAACAGATGCATACGCCCCACACCTTTGCGTTCGACGTCATGCATCTCGAATTAGCGATGCCCGACTTGTTGACGACGATCATCATTTTCATC